GTGTATGGCTCTAACTATGGTACATAGACTTACCTATTGAAATAACTTTAGTAGTAAGAATGACAGGACTTTACATAAAACATAAACTCATTTTTATGTCATTTGAAATGGTTGTGCCACACTCTTCAAGATGTCTGCTGTCTAGTCGTGGTTTTCTTTTTCAATCATCGATAATGTGGAGAAAAACCTGCAGTGTGCAGCTGGATTACACAGATAGCAACTGATGGTGACTCAAGCCCTGTTGGAGCTGTGATCTGACTGCTGTAAGGAGGGTTCCTCCTGGTTGTATGTTGTCCTTTGTTTAAGTCCATGCCCTATTTTACATTGGGTTGATTGTTTTTCTGTGTTTAGCTGTTTGAGTTTATTGTATGCTCTGGATGCTAACCTTCTGTCCAGGTTCATTCTGCGCCTTCACTCCAGTGGTGGTGCTATTTGCTTTATAGAGCTTCGCTGTTTCGTCCCACTTATTTTCAGTCTTAATGCCTGAGCTTTTGGGGTCCTGTTCAGAAAATCCTTTCCTGTGTCTATGTATTCCTTGCTTTCTTCTCTGTCCAATTTAGGGATTCTTGTCTTCTGTTGAGCTCTTTGATCCATTTGGAGTTCAGTTTTATGAAGGTGATTACATTCTTTTATGCAGCTCTGGGTCCCCAGGCCACATGTGATGGCTGGAGAGTCTCAAAGTTAGGGAGTGAGACTGATGAGGTGGTGGTCCCTTTCAAGTGAAATATAGCAAGAGCTGAGAGGAACAATCAGATACTTTCCTGGGTCTTCAGGCCACATGTGGTGGCCAGAAAGCCCCTGGTGGGGAGTTGGCTGTGTGCTTTAATTTTGTAATACTCGTGTAATCAGATTTCCCTGTAGTCCAACTTCCTTTGCCTTGTGATCTCATTTTAAGGAGCTGCAGAGAATTTCTGTAGAATGTGACAAAAATACACACATGTAATATGCCTAGGTTGTATAAAAATGATATTTGGTTGTATTACAGTTGAACTATTCCTTAACTAAGTATGTTAATGAGGAAACAGTTTTATTATACAAGTCTATATAGAGAATTCATAAAGAAATAGAACTTGGATAAGACACTACTTTTTAATGTCATTTTTCTCCTTTTTCCCTTTTGTCAGTTATTTGTGGTATCTCATCTCTCCTATCTTGTAAGCTTTTGTCGTAGAGTAAATGCTCCTAAACCATCCTAAGCTAGCAGTCAGTATTGCACTGCTTCCTACTTTAGTTGACAGTTGGACCTGGGAGAATGGAGACTCAAATTGGGGCAGAAAAATGTCTCCTGCCATACCCAATTTTATTCAGAGGGTTAAGAAGAGTCACATGAAAGTGTGAAATCACGAGGGCAAGTCACGTATCAAAAAAAGCATGTTTTTCAGAGAGGCATATAAACGAATAATAGCCATTGTAATTAGTAATCTAAAGTAAACTCACTCCTATCCAATACACCAGGAAGGGGCATGAACCCTAGAGCCTATAGCAATTGGGGTTCTTGAAGAAACTAAGGTCACTAGACTCTTGTGTTTTTGGAGTTTTCTCACAAGCACACAGAATTCCCTTCACATGACTCCATTGGCATTCTTAGATATTCTGACATTGCAGTATTTTAAAATTTTTCCATATTTCACTTTGGAAAGTCATTTCATTTGTGGTATAATAAGAAACTATGTTTGACCTTCTCCAGGATGCTTTGTGGCCTAAGTAGGAGTTGTCCTGCATACTATTCTGAGGTTATGTTTTATATGATGTTTAAGAAATTTCCTAGCCTATTTCTCAGGCCATCCTGCTAGCTGTTCACTCACCTAGCTCTGTAACTCTATTTGTTATGCATCATTTAAAGAATTACAGATATAAAGACTCATAATTGTAGATG